AGTTCAAGTTCAGTTCAAGTTCAAAATTAGAGAGTTCAGTTCAGTTCAGTTCAAGTTCAATTAAACTGAACTGAACTGAACTTTAGGAACCCTACTCTATACTTGTTCATAGAATGTGTTTCAGACTGTATTTCCTATTACATTCATAAACTGTTGTCTTGATTTTGTATTTAGGAGCTGTCTCAATCTGTCTTGTGTTTTTTTTAGAATAAAACCTTTAATTAATACCTTTCTTATTTTAATTTTCTCTGCTTCTGTTTTTCTAAAAAACACTGTGTATAATATATATGAAAGGACCTGAACTTTTTCTTCTTCTTTTAATCTCTTTTAGACTATTGCAATAGTCACTTTTTGGATTCTTTTGCATAGATTCCTTTGTCCCTTACATAGTATCAAATATGCCTGTGTTTTTTTTATTTTATCTTGGCACATTTGGTATTTCATTGTTGTATATACATCTAGTTTTTTTTTGTTAAGTTTTCTAAGATCAGAAGTTTATCTATTATGTATTTTATAAATATATTTCTTTTGGTACTACTTCTTTTTGTTATGCAATATACTTCTTTAAATATCTTCAGTATATTCTAAAAGTATGTCCAATCATAAATTACAACTTCTGTTTTTGGTTCTAATCCTCTGATTACTTTTGTTTCTTTTTATTCTATTTCTAATCTTATATTTGTTATCAATTTACATAACAATCTTGTTAGTATATCAGTATATTTGTTTTTCTACTTTAAACAGTACTTTATTTCTTCACAACTGACTTTTTTAACCCATATTATTTTTTTACTTATTGTATCATTTTTTGCTAGACTATCAGCTTTATTATTCCATCTATCTTTACTGTAACTCTTAACTTTAATCAATTCTATCTAAATATTCTTGATTCCAATAAGCTCTGTTAATCTATTGTTTCCTTTAATCATAACAATAACAAAAATTGTTCAACTATAGTATGATGACTATAACTTGACAGATTCTATACAAAATCTATACAAGACTTTAACAAAATATAGAGTGATTTAGAATTTTAAAGCAGAGCAACAATATATAATATACGAAAATACTAAATATTATATTAGTTTATTTATATGAAATATATAAAAACACTTTCTATTAAAGTGTATAAAGATATTTAATTTTCTTGAAAGATCATAAAATAATGCTTTTATAGATATTTTATATGTATAAATTATTACAATAAAGACTACTCTATTGCTAATAAATGTTATTTATAATAATGTTAAGATATATAAGAACTAATAGATATAATGAATATAATATATAAATATCAATTATTTTAGTTTATTATAATATATAATATTATAATTATATTGTTTAATTGATTAATATTTTACAATTAATTTATATTATTCTTTCTTAGATTATTATTGCAAACATAACAGTATTTTCAATAGCAAATTTCATTAATTCAATTAACTCAAATACACTATGTAGAAAACTATGAAAATGATGTCACTGCCTAATTTGCCAATATTTGCATCTTTAGCATATTACTAATTTTACTTGGAACAGTATAAGATGTATATTGATGATGTGATGTACATGGCAATTCAATTTCTAATCTCCTAATCAGTTTGTTTGTGATTTACAGTACTGAATAGCATTGATATTTGTAAGACTTCTTTCATCGATTATTCTAGCTTTTTTTGAAAGTAGATGGAGTGGAAGTAGGGTATCTGGCATACTCAAAAAAATTGGCATGCCATGTGACATGCCATTTATTCAAATCTGTGCCATGGCATGCCATTTGTATAATATTAGATAGTAATATTAAATAATAATATTTCAATTGTTAATATCATGTATTATTTATTATTATATATTTATTAATTATTAATGTTAAGTAAAATATTTAATAAAAAAATTCTAATATAGTTTAAAATGCAGATATTATATGTATAAATAGTTTTTTATACAATATAAAAAAGTTTTTAAAATATACATTTTATAAAATTATTCATTTTGTTAATTTTATATTAATAACATATTGCTTTATATAAATTATATAGTATAAAAAAAATTAGTATATATATAAATAATTTTATTAAGTGGCATGCCAAACTGCCTTGAGGCATGCCACTGACATGCCACTATGGCATGCCATCATTGGCATGCCTGTGCCACTATGCCAGATACCCTAGGTGGAAGGGAAGAACTTTCGATTAGCCAGAAATAGGGTTTTCAGGCAACTACGAAAAGCAGTGAAAGAAAAGCACAACTTCCTTTTAGAATTTCATTATAGCCTATTTTATACTCATTATTTAACTTACTATATCAATGAACTAATCATCATGCAGTTTATTTAGACTTTTGCCTTTGTGATTAGAACCAGTGATTTCAATGATCATGAGGTCAGGTGATCCTTGCAATAATATCCCTTCTGTGCCTACGTCACAGTCGGTCATAGAAGCACGTACTGAATCTGTGACAAGTTATGTCGATTACCAAATCAAAAGAGCACAAAGATCAGTATTTAGCGCAGGCTTTAATTTACTTAATATTCGATATTTAAAAATGTTCTCATATAACTAAAACTTCGTGCTGAAAACTTTTATTTATTTTGAGTTATTTGCGATTTTTCTGTTTTCGATTTTTTTTAAGTTACACGAGATCTCACAGATTCAGTGCGTGCGTCATAGAAGTACCCGATTTTACTGTCACATGATTTTCCGACATATACTAGCCAATCAAAGATCAGGATCAGGTGTAACGTAAAGAAATCCAAAACAAACGTTCGCTTTGCAAAAATCGCATTTATCTCAAAATTTAGTCTAGTAAACCGTCTTTGGAGTCTTAACAAAAAAATCCTTTGTGTAATTTTGCTATACTATAGTCCTTTCTAACCTTACCCTAAACTCTAACTCAAATATAAAAGAAGTTTTTAACTTAGCAGCATTTGTCTTCCGAGAATCATGTGACAGCAAAATCGATCCTGCGCCCTGTCAAAATTACCCGAAAACAACAAAGTTTTTTCAAAAATTGCAAATAGCTCAAAATTTTGCTTATTAAATCACCTTCTGCGCTCTAATTAAAATTTTTTCTTAAAATTTTACTATAAGCTACGATTTCCTAACCCTAAATATATGTTTTTTCCCTTTATTTATATGTTGTCTTCGATTGTTTTGATTTTTCGATATCAGACCAGATGCTTCGAAAATCACATGACTAGACATCTCGTTTTCGCCATGGCTAGGGAATCCCGGTCATAGTAAGCTCATACACTGATCAGTTTATATTGATGAAAATTTCCTGATCGATTTATAACGATGAAAAATTCGATAATTACAACGAAAACGGTTAAATTATTTATTTTAATTGGATTTAGTAATCGAATGATTTTCACGATTTAGGTCGATTCCAAATTGTCATTCTTTAAATATGAAACGAATTAGATCTTTCTCAATTGATGAAACTTTTAAAAACATAAAATTATGAGACTAGACGATAAAAATTGTATGATCGGTAATTATAATATTATAAATGTCCTTTTGTGTAGACATAAATTTAATGTATGAGTGACGAAAAGGGAAAACCTGTAAATCATTTCCCTTTTCGTCGCTCGTATAAAATAAAAAAAAAATATGCAACCTTTGCTATATTTGACAGGGATTTACTAATTTTCCCATAAGTTCCTATTGGCTGCAAGGAATTTTTTTATGCTACACCTGATCTTGTTCTCTGATTCGCTGCAGATGCATCACGTTATTAAAGATCGTCGATTTTATCCAATTAGAAATCGATTTACTCACGACCAATAGTAACTTGATGGAAATTAGTAGACCCATTTGACAGTCGATAAAAATGAGTTTATCCGAGGTTAAATTTATATCAGCAAAAATGTAATGTTCTGCCGGCCAAAAATATATGGGTCATAGTATCTCAAAATTCCCTATATATCTAACATTAACAATTATTCTGAAATCCTTACTTAGAGGTCAGAAGTTAGTTGTCATAGTAAATTTTTGTGTTACAATTTCTTATCTTTTTCGCGTTTGTTTTGTTACACAATATCCTGTGATTTTATTGGATCTAGATATGGATTTTCTTGACCCAATTTTTTTTTATATAATAGTAATTTATTTAGAAATTTTTTAGTACTAAGAATCGACAAATAATTTAAATATTTTCATCTTAATTACAAATTTTCATCGTTATAAATAGAACAGGTTCAGAATTTTCGTCATTCTAAACTGATCATATCAAAGTGTTTAATTTTATATTGTTCCTCTAATAAAAAAAAAAACCCCCGTTAAATAAACCGTTACAAGCGCCATCTTTATTATTGACAACAATCTTACCTCTATTATTAACAATTACTTTATTCATTTCATTATAAACCAACGTAATTATGAGAAATGTCTATTTTATCATAAATTTATTATCACTTATTATTATCCTACAAAAATATTTTATGATTCATGCTTTGAACGAAGCATTATCGAAATTATGGAATGTAACTGTAATTGAAGTGCCTAATTTATTGAATATTGAGAAGAACTTATGCACGGTAGATGGACTTTTGAAGCCATTTTTAGAACAAAATGAAGAAAGTTTTGGAGGAACTTATATTAATGTAAAAAGAAATAAAATAATCATCATGATAGTAGATGAAACAAAGAAGGACATTATATTAAATTCACCTGATATACAACCGCATATAGAGTTATTAATATTTCAACCAGCACTAAATTCTCTATCATCCTTAAAAAATTCGTCACTGCAAATAGTTGCAAACTCACGTAGGCATCGTCCAATTGAAGTATTGATGTACATTGACATTGAAGAAAATAACATTGTCATATTTATACCTTTCATTACCGATGAACGTAATAAACCGTTTATCGATATACGTAATAAACCGTTTATGGACAGTATCAGTCAATATAACCCTGTTATGCGTCTTTTCGATGTGAACATGCAAGGACAACCTTCTAGAAAACGACCTCGTAATTCGACTCACACCAAGCGTGAAATAGGTCGACAAATAATAAATGGAGGTGCTATATATAATTTAGGTAGTAAAGCTATATGTACAGCGGGTTTTTGGGTAATAGATGAAGAACTAAATAATTATCTTGTAACTGCAGGACATTGTATTGATCGTAATAATACAACTCCTGATCATAATACCTTTTATTTGATGCCGTTAAATTCTTCTGAAAAAGTATCGAGCTTTAGTAAAAAAAATGATGAAATTGGGCCAATGGTATTTCATGATTTGAAAGAAACTGATTTTGGCTTAATCAGAATAACAAATGTAGCTATCAAACCGACAAAAGTGATAAGAAATACAAATTCTGATCCATATAGACAACTATTTATAAGAGATGCTGAAACGATATCGACCCATGGTGCTCACTTATGTAAATCTGGTACGATTACATTTGTTACTTGCGGATACATAAAATCATTCGAGGGTTATTCTTTTCGTGGTAATGACGTTTTCGATAATTTTATTGTTACAAATTTTCTTTCTAATGTAGGTGATAGTGGTGGTCCTGTTTTCTATTTACGGGATTTACCTTATGTGAGTTTACATGGCATTGTCATAAAAGGTTTTAGTTCTAGAGAATGGGGAGATTTGACTTTTAATGTAAAAGCAGATTATATTATTAGTGCAGCTAATAGGACTATTAAATTAGGTGGTTCGTAAAATATTTTCAGTAGCAGTGAATTTTAAATTTCAGCGGTTGGATCATAATTTTATCAATAATATTATGGTACTTTATAATAAATTTGGTTGGGAATTGAGTTATACATGAGTATTATCAAGAAAAAAGATTACAATCACAATAAAATTATAAATTATTTAGAAAATTTATTAGTTTATATGTAGTGTTTATACACAGTTATAATTTATTGAATTACAAATTCTTGCTTATGGTTAGGGTAATGTGGGTTTTGGATTGGGCAAATTATAATTTATACCAAGATTGTACAAGAAATTTTTTTATTAAATCCAAAAAGTGGTTTATAATCAATATTTCATGATATTGGTTTGTTTTTATATTGCCTGTGTACATACACTCTATATAAAAATAGAAAATCTCAATTATTTATTATATAAATATTAATTATTTTATTTTAGTATACTAGCAGCAACAACAGCAGCATATTAGTAGTAACAACAGCAAGAATATTAACAGTAATAACAGCAAGAATATCAGCAACAACAACAGTAAATATATTAGTTGCAGCAACTGTAGGCTTATCAACAACAAGACCAAAAACCTATAATAAGAACTGATAATTTAATACAAATAGAAAAAGAAGTCCTACAAATATATTATAAATATAATGATGAAAGTGAAGGTAAAAATAAAGGTAAAAATGAAGATGAATGAAGGTGAAAGTAAAAATGGAGATAACAGTATGGTACAAAAAAAAGTAAAGAAAGTAAAAAAGAAAAGATAAAGATAAAGAAAAAAAAAGGTAATAAATAAAAATATTATATATTTTATTGTTTATTTCTATATAATGTATAAGTATATAAAATAATAAAATTTAAATTGGTATACAGAGAATCAAGCTAATAATGTCTAGACTTAATGTATAGAGCAAACTATAATATTCTTTATAGCTGTGAAAGTTGACCATATGGTGAATGAATCTACAGAAGAATTCTCTATTTAATTGAATTTCATATCATCATCTCATATCAAGAATGAACTACAAGACTTATTTTACAACATACTATATAATTCAGATTTATGTTATAACCAATAGTTAGCATATTTGAACTTATCTCTACATCTATATCTCCAAACACTTAGTTCTTTTTTAAAACATATTTATAATTACAATTATTCATAATTTAACAATTTAATTATGTATTTACAATATTAATTAAACTTAATTATAGTGAATACTATATACATTTATTACATGAATCCTAATCTTTACTTGAATTTTTTTTTATTACTATTAGGTTATACTTATTATCTATCTATACCTATTTCTTCTAAATTTGCTCTAATAAATAATAATATACTAAATACTAATTTAATCATAAAATAATAAATTAGACTACTTTTATTTCTAATTAATAGAAACTATTTTAAAAGGTTATGATAAAACTACTATAGTTAAATAATATAATAATAATATTCAACTTAATATCTATTATAACAAATTTTTATTCTATAACTACCTATGACTACTTTCTTATCTACAAACTATTATTTCTTTCTTACAATATATCTACAGTTTTAATTATTTATTTGATGATTCTTGTAACTATATATTAAATTTTTTCATTAAAAATAATTATAATAAAGCCTATATTTATTTTTTATTTGAAGCTAAACTATTATCTAATCATTTTATCTTATTAGTTCAAGCTATCTATTATTATCTGAACATTCAGCTAAAATAAATATATCAATACTAATTTTTATATCAGCACTATTAGTTTTCTCTTCTAGTAATCTATTACAAACTAATATTTCTAATACTTTTCTTTAAACCTCACAATCTGTACTCATAATATTTGAGAATACAATAAAAATCTCAAATAAAAAGTCTAAAAGGATTATTGTATTTCTTATTTTCTGAACATTATCATTATTATAAAAACTAAAATAATAGAAAATAATACTATTACCAAATTTTATAACTCAAATTACTAATCCTATTACTGATTCTGTACTAATAATTCCAAAGCAGAAACTGCACTTATGATTTATAAATACCTCACATCTCATATACTCAATATTCCTATTTTCTCTGGCTATATTATTGCTATTGACTTTTCTTTAAACATGATTACAAATTCTGAATTATCTTTATATATCTATTATGTAAAGCTTATAATTAAGACTTCAGATTCAAAATATCATTATTCAATAGATTCAACAAGTCACTAATTAAACATTCTGTTCTTAATACTAAATAACTTTAATATATCATTTAACAATTTTATCTTCTTATTTATTATATAAATATATTTTTTTATACTTGGCATAATAATAGACATTATAGTAATATTAATTACATCTAGACTCATCTTATTTTATTCAAATATCTCAAGTTATTTTACTTAGATGATGCAAAAAATTGTACTAAAAGTAATTACAAAATCCTTATATTATCTTAAACATTTCTTTATATCTTTACAAAGAAAAACAGATACTTAATTTAAGCTCAATAAAAAACTTTCAACTACAAAGTAATGAATAATAAGTAATAGAAAACTTTTGCTAACAAAGTAACTCTTAATTTTACTATAAACAAAACTTCTATTTTTGTTCAAACCTCAGAATTCCTCAAAACTATTTAACATAAAATTTAAATTAGTATTATTAATGCAGTTACTAAATATATTTTTAATAAAAAAATAACAATTCACAACTTTTAATACTTATTTTTAGCTAAAGTTAATTTACTTTATTCAAATTTTAAAAAACTTAATAATATTATAGACAAATTAAAGCATCTTTATCTAACCTTTTACTTATACTTATAAATTATAATTCTATTATTCATTATTGTCAGAGATAAAACTGACACCTTATAGAGCCTGCAAAATGGACGTCATTGTGGCATACTTACCTAATTAGAGTTGCCCATGACAATCCATCTGAAACATATATACCCAGCCCAAAAAGATGCTATATGAAAGTACACAAGCCTCAATGCAGGACCCAACCACTCCCCTAATTAAAGTAAGGATAACTTGGACCAACCTTTTGTGCTAAGAATAGATGTTGACTTCACCTGCCTTACTTGGGTTAGGTGTAAGGTGATGTCAAGGGGGTGTGATTGAAGACAATACGATGAGTTCTGGCCTCAGGATTATGTAACTAAAACATTTCTCAATCGAAGCTGTGAGAAATGTTAAAGTAACGAAAGGCTGTGTAAAAGGGGTTAAAGGTTATAGCAAATAAGGTTGGAAAGTGTTAGTAATAATAAAAAGAGTTATGGTCTTGCGTGGGCTCTTCTCTTGTTCAATTCATTATAAAAAGGGTGGAATTTTCCCCTCCTGAAAGGTATCTCAATACATCTCAGAATAGTCCAGCATAGTTCAAAATAACCTTTAACAATATACTTGTACTGCCTCTACAAAATATTAATAAAGTTAATAAAGTCCTTTTAACTTATAGAATAAATAAATGCTCCTTTAAAATCGCAATACTTATCTTGTAATGCTCCTCTTCGATCTCCTTAACCTTGTGCCAAATCATAAAACCACCTCTATTATTTTTGAGGAATGTTTTGTGGTATAATCCTTTTTCTAGCAACAATTCGTCGCATTTGCCCCATCTCTGAACTCGTCCATTAAACCCATCACACTATCTTAACTCAACTAATTACCTCAATATATCTCCTATATTAAACTCTTATGAGTCTATAACAAGCTAGATTATTAATACTAATACTAAATAACAAGCTCTTTATCATACCTAAAATATTAAAAACATTAAACAAATTTGAAAACAAATAAATTAGCACATCAATTTTAAATACTTTAAAGTTTAAACTAATCTCAAATTAATGATCAATAGCATACTTAATTGTTACAAAGATTCAGTAAAATTCAACAATATTAAAACAACAAATGATATTATCACAGATCCCAAATTAATTAAAAAACATAATCAATATTACTTTGATAATTAGACTGTTTACAGACCTATTAATACTTAGAAAATTAATACTAACTAGTTTAAAAAATATGAACTAAAAGTTATAATCAAACCAAATTACTACAATTCAGTCTTAACTAATTTTTCACTAAATAAAATTTCTAAAACTCTTAGCTAACTTCCTAATAACAAAACATGTAGACCATTAGATATTAACTATAAAATGCTTAAACAGACTGGTCCTATTTTTTTTAAACAATAGTAGTTTTTTTTAACTAATATATTTAAACTTCTTACATATCTAAGTAATAAAAAGAAGGTTACATCTTTTCAATATCCAAAAAACCTATTTTTAATAGAAATCTATCTAATACAAAACCTATTAGTCTAATTGAACATATTAAAAAATTTTATACTAAACTCTTTACTAACTGTCTTAATTCTATACTTATATAATATTCTATTCTATCTTTTTATAACTATTTTACCCTATTCAGTATTGTTAATGAATAGCTTAGGTTAAACATTTTTGGACAATTTTGAACAAAAATATAAATCAAAATTACTTATAATTTTGTTAAGATAATCTATATACTTTTCTAAGTAAAAATATTCAGAACTTAAAAAAATATATAATTACATATTTTTTAAACAAATTTATTAATTATTAGAGCTTGAACATGCCTTGAACACTCTTGAACACTTGGATATTTGAATATTAGACATGGTCAAAAAAAGTTTTGAACAGTAAAAAATATACAACACTGGCTTTATCTGGCAATAGCATTTTTATTTCTATATATATACTCAACAATATCATTAAAAATGCTAGCTACAATAACAAACAATTATAGCTTTTGTCTTAGAACATGAATAAAGCATATAAGTTTGTTAATTTAAAGCTCTTTACAATGTCTATTAAACAAATATTAATGCCCTAATCACTTATTAATATACTGACTAATTTTCTTACAGATCATCTAAATTAGATTGTATTTAATTTTAATTTACTAATTTTTATTTAGTTAAAAATAAAATAGATTAAAAAGAAACTATAACTTCTTTATTCTAGAGAATTTACTATAATCTCTTAATTCACAAAATTACCTCACAATTTTCAGAATACTTTTTGTCTGTATCTTGAAAAACCAATCTATACTTACCTTAAATCTATAATATAAAAACAGCTATATGAGTTTTAGTTTATATAGA